TAGTATTAGTGTAATAGAAAATTACTAAGCTTTAAGTAGCTAATAAAGCTACTATGTAACATAAATTACATAAAAAAAAGTAGATTAAAGCAGAAGAGACTTTAATAATTTAAAAAAGCCTACACTTAACAGCTTTAAAGAAGTTTAGGGCGCGCAGTAACAGGAAGAAGGCAAAGAAGCAGGTGCAAGCTAAAGTAGGTAAGCTATTCTAAAGGCGCTGCAGATAGTGCAATTAGACTAGGCATAACGCGCAAACATGTAAGCAAGAAGCAGAAGTAGTATCTAAATAATATTCTAGGCTGTACTGTACTATATAGTGCTAGAGCAGGTTGTTATGGGCTATAATAGAGTTTGTTAGGGTGAGGTCTTGGCAAAAGTGAGCGACTCGGGTGTGTGAGCGACTCGCCCATGAAGTACGTTATACTACTATACTAATATAACTAAGAAAGTGTGAATAATTAACTATTAGTTAATACTATGTATAAAATAGTATATATATACCTGTTACACATAAGAACTCTAGTATAGGCTGCTTCTAGCGTTACAGTGCCTTGTTACTTTTTATAGAAACTAGTAGCGTTACAAGTACTTAGAAATTAAACAGCTATAACATATTACTTTATATAATAATAGTAAATACTAAGCTTATTATTTTTAAAACTTTATAAAAAATATATAAAATAACTGTATAATATAAATAGAATAATTTACTAACGCTTGTAATATTCTTACTTTTAAGTAAGCGTTAGTATTTTAAGTACTTTAATAAGTTACAGAATAAAATTTTAAATAATGTACACTACAAGCAAGTTACTTACACACCTAAGTTGCTTACTTTTACTAAAACCCTACTAAACTACTCTTCTTACACTTATGCATATCTAACAACACTACTTAGACGCGCTAAAAGAATATTAGATATAGCTTACACTTTAGGCTTTTAAATAAAACATAACACGTTTAAAGTAACACGCTGTAGCTATGTATAAAGTCTCTTAAATAATAATAAATAACTAACACGCTAGATAACCTTTATAAGCTAATTTTATAGCTAACTTATAAAGGCTAGATAATAACAAGAAGTAATTATTAAGCACATACTTAAGTTATATATGTAAGAATTTTCTCTTTAGCTAGTAGCTATAGCTAATATAGCTAATTCTTTACATGCTAAGCATAATCTAAGCTATATTAGCATAAAATAGCCTAGTCTGTTTATAAAGTTATTTATAGCTTAAAGTAAAGTTTAAGTATAACTATAGCTATAAAAAAGCTTTTTATAAAAATTCTAAAGTAATTTAAAGCTAGTTTAGCTTTATAAAGAATATTAAAGCTAAGTATAATATCTAAGATACTAACATAGATAACTTTAATAAAATAAGCTTTATAATAGGCTAGATATCTACTAACTATACTTACACTTAAAACTTTACTTTTAGCTTTTAATAACACTTTATAAATATACTAGGCTATTTTATGCTAATATAGCTTAGATGATG